AGACTCGGCTGGAAGCCGGGCTTTCCGCATCCGTAGGAACGCCACCACCCTTCAAGGATAAAGGCGCAGATACAGCTCCTAAAGCGGTTAAGGCGGTTACAAATATAAGGAGAGCTGATTGCTCTTGGATTGTTTTTCGGCAGCTCAGTGACGGCGAATTTTACACGTATTCCTACAGGATCAATGGCTCTGTGTTTCTCTGTATTATGTATCAGTATGATTATATTTTAGGTGCAGCATGTACGATTGCTGTCCAAATGGCTACCGCTGGCTATACCGTTCCTTGGGCGTCAGTGACACTGCATCCCCTTGGCCCTGATGTGAATCGTGTGGTTTACCATGTGTGCACCATGCTTGATTAGCTTCTCTAACAATACAGTAGAGCTCATTTAAGTATGTACTAAGGCACACTCCTGCTTAGAACGCATATTGTTCGATGCACTGGTGTTATGATCCAAACCAAAGTATTTTGAGATAAAGTTCACTCAGATACTACGTAGTATTTTCACTGTCCTGCTGCCCATGGGGAAGTCTTGCAAATTTGACACCTTTGGTGCTGCAGATAGGCTTAGATTCCCATGACACGAGGCAAGGATTCCACGTGAGAATTAGAATCTAACTTGGTCCAGCTTGAAACAAGTATCATCAAATTGAATATCTCAGCCGCCTGTTTGTACTGGCTGCCCATTAACCATTGCGAAGCTGCTCTCTTGCTCTTCCATAGCTATTTGAGAGTGTAAATGCAAGTCCTAAATGAAATCAGAAGTTGATGATGCGAATTGGGAGGGGTATGCAGTTGGATTCTGATGATATACAAAAGTACTTATACAAAGCTAACACTTGCATGGTGACTCATTACGCTCCGTTCGAGCGTTTGTGGGCAATAGCTGAGTTCAATGATAAAGACAACACGTCATATGGAATATGAATGTGAAGATCACGAGTTTCAAAGTCCCGAAAAACACTACAAAAATACACTACACTGTGCTTGGTAGTTGTTGTTGTAAGGGTCTGGAAAGGTCAAAAATACATTGCACGTCTTACCGATCTACACAGGAAAATACTATCCGTTCATACAGCTTTGCAATGTGCAAGTACTCCGCAATGGCATAATATTATAAAGAAGAAAAATGTTGCATCAATTGTGGAAACAGTGCTCAATGCTCTAGGCACAAAACTCTCTCACACACATACACATGGATAACAAAACAGCAAAGGGAAGTATGTTCCCAACTCCTACTGACGTTTATCATCCGTTGCACTCCATTCAATTCCTGTCCTTTTCGTTCGGCCTTGTTCCATTCCCTTGTTTGTTTCCACCTATGCGAGTTTGGTGTCCGAATATTGAGTGAAAGTGATAGTATACTTAGAGGAAAGCAATTGGTCGTGAGAAAACAGCATTGAAAGGCTGAAAGTTGTGCTAAAACGTTGGCTATCACTTCGTTGCAAAGCTAGGGTAACAGTCAGTCGGAGGGAGAAAGATAATCTGATGGATTCCCTGGTACTTTTTCTTTCGCCTGAGAATTAATGCTACCTTTTGCTCTGAGCATGTCCCGCGATAGGATTCATTTGGCAGTGGAAGTGGCATGCCAGCCAGAGTGTCACTGGCAGAAGGTCTCTCCATTCCAACCATTTAGTTTTCGGGATCTTTCCTAGTCACCATTGCTCTCTGATCTTTAGCCGAAGTGTTAGACACATGCGTTGGATCAGACGTGGATCTGGAGCTGCATGGTGTGGTCCAGCTGTTAGGAATAGAAGTGCGAGCCGTGGCTAAAGCGTAGCCATAACCATCTGTGCTCCCCATCAAGCTGCTTGACACAGCGCCCGCACATCTCCCCGTGTGATCAACACATTCATTGCCGGGAGCAGTGGCAAGGGCATATGTATATTTCACACTCTGATCCATATGGTCTGAAACATAAGTATATTCGTTTGGCGATTTTTTGTTTATGTTGTCGGTTTCCATTTGATTCGAAAGCTGGGAGTGCCTCGCTGCATTAGGAGTTGAGCCAGTATTCGGGGCTGTGGCAAGAGAGTATTCACACTCCATATTCTGCTGCTTTTGGTCAGGAACACTAGCGTATTCGTTTGGCAATCCTTCACCGAGTGTGTAGACGTTTTCCATTCGGTTCGGAGGCTGGGAGTGCATCCCTGCAGTAGCAGCGGATTCGGCGGTGGGTGCCGTGGAAAGGGAATATGTATGATCTTCAATCCGGTCAATCTCAATGGCAACGGAAACGGTAGTATATTCCTCTCCTGTTCCCGTGTATGTCGGGAGCGTTCGATTCGGCTGTTGAAGTGACATTTCCGTCTCTGTGCGGTCTGCGTGAACCATATTAACATGTCCATGAACAGCTGTGGGCCGTAGAGCGATAGAATTGCGCTGAAATAATTTCAAAATATTCTCTCTCTTCCGGAGTGTAAGCGCCACCAGCAAAGCAAAAAGTATCACACTAATAGTTGACAGAGTCACCAGCAAAGTCTTGTCGTTCCGTACTTTTCCTGATGGTGACCTTGGCACTTGCGTAATGCCGAGATGTGTTGCTGATGTTGAAGTCGCTGTAGTATTTCGGAGCGATGTTCGTGCTGCAACGGTTTTCAAGTCCTTGTGCAATTGTGTTGGGGTTGGTGACGCAGTTGACAAGACTACAGGAAACAGGAAAAGAGGTTACAAGGTCAAGCTGTGTTCTTTTGAAAAAAAGAAGAAGAAGAAGAAATTGGCCATTATCAAAGATCCTCATTCCGACGTGAAGCTATCCAGGTATTCTTGTGTTGCTCAAACTCCGATATTATCCCATGCTCATGTAACTGCCTTGTACAAGTTCAATCTCAATGCTTCTCTCAAAAGTCTTGTAAAAAAAAAAGTAGTCAATGCCATGCTACATACAGGATTCACACCTTTGACACCCGCTCTCTATCGTTACCATACATAAGAGAGATGGCTTAATTCGGATACAGTAAAGTCGTCAATTTGTACATGAGCAAGGACAAAATTCTATAACAATGCCCAACACTTTCGCCCTAAGTGCATGAGAAAGGGTACGTCGGCAATTTGAGCTGAATCATGATCCAGGAAAGAAAAATATCTTTGAGTCAAGTACTAGTCGGATACTTAGATTCAGAAAATAAGATGAGGAACAATTTAAAATAATATTGATACAGTATCAGATTATATGGGCTGCTCAAGCACTTTTAAAGTTCACATTGTTCGTACTTATCTGTCCCTCCAAACGAACTCTAATGCGTTTTCCCTTTAACTGCGCGATCAAACGGCCACACTGCCATACATTTTCTTCAAAAATTAAGTTTTAATTTTTACTTGCCATGTAAATCTGAAGTAGGATATTCATCCAGAAATTCACCCGTTTATCAAAATCATTCAGAACTAAATCGTCCGATTCTCTTCTTCTGGAGAATTCATGGAAACTATCCAGGTTAGATAAACTTACAAGATAGATTTGATAACCGTATCATGATGGCTACGATGTGGAAGCAATAGGAATAGAAGAATATTGTACCGGTGATAGCGAGCCTGTTATCCGATAGCAACAATGTTTCGGATTGGATTCAGCACATTAGTCGTCATATTGACCAATCGCAAAGCTGGGAATAGTTGAGATACCTATAGTTGGTTCGCCTCTGAGATAACTTCAGACGTGATAACCTATCACTCTTTAGGCTTATGTGTCAACGTAAAGTCCATCGAGCAATTGGAACTTGTACTGGTGATGGATTGTTGTAGATAATCAGGTCTGTCAAATTGCAATGCTTCTTCAGGACTACTCTAGTCAGCATTAAACGTCATGAAGTGTCAGACACATTTCGTCTACTTATCTCTGTTTTCCTAGTACAGACCACTCTCTTTATAGACATCTTTGTTCTCCGACTACACTCCTCTCTTTAGTTTGTTTAAAATGGACTATAGGCATTATTTAGCACTCTCTGGTGCTACGTCTCTGAACAAGTCAGCTGATATTAGTACTAGCCTAAGCCGCAACATTCATCAGACCCAATGACAGAACATCTCGTGTGTTACCGGAATAGAGCGAACAAATGTGGTCGAGACAACCCATACCATATTATTTTAGAAAGTAGACCAACACGGAAAGGCATTTACAAGTTACTTCATGAACTAACGTCACCATTTTCAAGTGCTATAGCTTCCGGGCGATATACAGCATGCGGATGTTTGACAACGGATGGTAGATCTATTGAGTTTTGCAATGCACATGTCTCTGGTAGCGAGTCCACATTGATAGCAAAGCAAACAGCGATACCCGCCTGCTACAAACAAATGTAACATTCTAGGCACATTTTACCCTTTACAATGTCCTCGACTTATGAATAATAGACTATCAGGCAGATTCAACTCTTTGATTAGTTTGTAGCTTCCAGGTTGGCTAGTGATGCAGCCATACGTGCGGCAGATGCTGGAAGCATATCCTATCCGGTGTAAAGTTAACCAATCCGGTTCCCTATCTGCTCACTTGAAGTTAATCACTGCTGTTACTTTTAGCATCTACAGAGATACATGAGATACATGTACAAGCATTGTGGTCAGTTAAAAGTGGTGGTCAGTTAAAAGTCATTGATAACTGAAATTCCATTGCTGATACTAGAACAAGTACCTGCAAAGGCAACACCATGTAACCTATCCAACTCTATCATCATAGAGTATTAGTCAAACAACCACCAAAGCCGCGCAGTTTGCATAAAAAACCGGACTTGATTCAGTCCATACCTCAATAGCAAAGTTCTGAACATATAACATTCCCACCCAATGCGCCCTCTATTCATGCTTTTTAAAGGACCACATGTATTTGGATGTGAATGTGAGAATCATTTAGCGCAATAAACAGCCACACTGCTTCAATGTCCAAGCATTACACCGCACTTGGAAACCATTTCCCCTATGTATTTTCTCAAACACACTAACGTTATAAATGTGATGTCTATAGCTAATACCTTTACTACCCACCGGCACGATATCATATTTTTTCAAATACCCTCTGGTTCCTGGTTCAAACTCTACGAGGATGACAATAATATGTTTCAATGCATCGAATAGCAGAGAGACAAGTGATATAACCTATGCGATGAAACTACAATGTATAATGGGGAAGTGAAGGATGTAGGGCAGTAGCATTGTGAATGAAACATACAATTTTTGAATACCTATGAAAAATGATGAAATTGGCGTACTGGCTAAAAAAGCTCTGAACACGGTGAGTTGCAAAGAAGGACGTGCAATATCGCAAGGTGTACAAAAGCACATGAAGTCACACAGGGGAGAAAATGACTACAAAAGCTGAATCAAAAGGCAAGTGGAATTGGTCGATGACTTCATTCGTCGCAACGTTATTTTATGCATGAGGTGTAATAAAGAGATTAAAGTCATTAAAGTGTCTCTGGAGGTGTGCGCATGGTTCCTAGGTGATATATCTGATACGTGGGGTTCCGATATGCGACCTATAATCCGCAGGCGTCACTTGACTCAGTTTGCAAGGCGTAAACAGCCTTGGTTGTCATGAGGATCTGCGTTCCCAGAAGGCATTGTAGTGTGGTGCATGTCTCTACTCTGAGTGAGTAGAGCAGAAGCGAATACTACATACTTATATTGTGCGTCTACCGATCTGTCAGTGGCAAGGGCATAGATCGAGCCTCGCCGCCCATTGTACACGTGCACTCAAACACACATTAGTGTTATAGAATCTCCAGGTAATCAGAGGCATCCTGCTGAGTGGATACTGTTTTCGTTGAACCCCGTGGCTGAAGACAAGTCGATTCTTCGTACACTGGATTGATGGTAGTGAGCGCTCGTACAGGTGTAATTGGTATCACGGGTAGTGGTCCGTCGTTTGAGTTCCCCGTAAATGTCTGTGAAATGTTGCCATTCTCGGGAATAGCCTGCAGGATGTAGAGTTCATTTTCAGTGAGGTCGGTCGTGTTGGATGGGTCTCGCCGTACACAAACTGTCCTCCTTGAGTTTTCGGGAGGTGCGGAGTTTTTCTTCCTACGACGAACAGCAATGATAATAACCAAAGCAGCAACAAAAAGTAAGACTGATATAATAGATCCTATGCTGATGTAGAGGGTATAGGACGCTTCTGGCTGAGCTGTTGACTTTATCATAGTTGATTGTACTGCGATCGATATGGGATCAGAATCCCTTGATAGTGGGCGTGTTGCCGCCATATCGAGCTGATGAGAACTTGTGGATGGAGTCATTGCTAGAAAACAGAGTGGGATGCAGAGAAGGAATGTATCACGTACAGTTGGAAAACCAAAAATGGTAAGTACACTGTATTGCCCAAAATCACAATGTCCCTACTTTTGGTCTTCCAGGAACTGTATGATTCCAATGGTCTGTGGCCGAACCAGCTGACACGCCCCCTTTCTCCCATGCTCCTAGTCGTCATAGTTATAATTGAACTGGTGTTATTACTGCGGCAATGAGGGAGCGAGACCAACTAGATAGGTATTTGTGTGTAAATTTCACTGAAAGCGTCACTTTGTTCTTATGTAACTACGGACGAAGTTTGAGCCTTCTGAACCGCGTCTTCTGGACGCTGAATTGAATGGTCTTAGTCCGAAGAGGTTGCGATACTGCGCGTGGCATTTTGTTTCCAATGCAATGCACCCCTAGCACCAAGCCCATTAGACTCCTGCAGTATCCCGACATCGTAGTCCATACTGTACCTCCCAGTTAATTGTTATGACTAACAGTCCACCAAGGTAACAAGATATTACCAGTATACAGTCGGATAGTGCGACAAAAATGCAGAAAACTGACAGGGCATGAGATATTCAACGACCAGACACCTAGCTCCAACACATCTACAAGCGCAAGCCAACTGCATGCCAACTTGGAAATCTCAGGTGCGGAAAGTTCAAATGTCAGGTCGTTGAATGTCTTAGTATCTTAGGACTATTGACTGAATATCCGAATTTTTGGTTATTACATTCTCATTATTCCGAGCATCGCGTTAGTGCACACCTGCGATCTGGGGCCTGAAAAAGCGCATATAAAGTGTGCATTTTACTCCAGCAAAAAAGGTAATGTATGTTGTGGTATGTTCCCCTATAATAATGATATTATTTGGTGGCAGTCACATGAACACGACGTTCAAATACGTATACTCTTTTCATCGTTGTTAAGATATAGAGGACAATGAGGAGACAAGAATCTCAAATGATTCTCCCGCACAGTTGGTCAAAGCCTTGATGGACTACTCCATATTAGAAACACCTAGGTAAGGGATATGTAAACTTTTACAAGCACACCTTTTAAGGTGGCATATTACCCAAAAATTTCATATGGCATTCAATAGACCTTATTCAATTACGTCATCCTTTCACCGCGCGGCCGGCGCGGGGGTACTGTTCAAAATCAAGCTGGCAGAGGCAGCATTTGCATTGTCTGGGAGAAAGATTTTACGAACAAGAAGTCCGCTTTGCTTGTTTTCTTTTGACGTGACTTAGTTTTGGAACGTGTGTTGTTTTAATCCCTTACTAGCTAAGGGGTTTTCTGTTTTAACCGCTGTCAGCATACGTTCTAAACTAGCAATGCCGCACTCCTGTACTGTTCCTGGCTGTCGGAACGTGTCTGGGGCGAAGAAATGCAAGCGAGGGTACCGACGTGTTCAGGACTGCACTGGCAAATGGTCGATGGAAGAGTATCGTCTTTGTGGGAATACGGCAAAGCGAGTCGGCTGTAGGGGCGCTTGCAGCGTGTGCAGGACGTTGCCGTTCGCCAAGTTCCCCAAACCCCTGCCCGAAAGCGCTGATCCACATCTAGCTAAACGGCAAAGAAAATTAATCAAATCGTGGAAAGATGCTGTTCGAAAACAAAATTTGACTGTGACTGCAACAAACGATGTGCGTGTATGTGGAGCACATTTCCCAGCCCTGCAACGCCAGAATGACGATGAAGTTCCCTCTGTATTTGCTTGGACCATCCCAGTGGTGGAGCGCCAAACACTGACCTCCAAGAAAGCGAGTGAGGCCGAGGAAGAAAGTATGACGGTGGATGAGGAAGAAGTGGCCAGCACCGAAGATACTGGAGAGGTGGACGTTGTCGAAGAGAATCAGCGGCTGAGGGATGAGATCTTGGACCTGAAATCACAGCTAGAGCTATTGAAAGACCAAAACACGATCCTCGAAGCTCAGCTTGAACGGCAGCGTTTTACGGCACGGCAGTTCACATCGGACAAAAACATTCGCTGGTATACTGGGTTCAGAACATTCGGACAGTTTTAGGAGATGTTCAAACTTGTTTTGTCCACCCGTTCTGCCACCCAAGCAAGAGGTACTGCACCAATCCTTCCACTGGAAGACTGTTTTTTTATTGCAATGGTGAAGGTGTGGAAGGATTATCCGGAAGAGGAGCTGGCACGGCTAACTGGTGTCTCCCAACCAACAATATCCAGGATTATCCGCCATTGGATTCCGTTGACTGCCAATGCACTTCGCCAAATCCCGATCTTCCCGAGCAGATCCCAAGTGGATGAGCTAATGTCACTGTCGTTCCGCGAAATGTATCCACGGACACGGATTATCATCGATGCGTTGGAGATTCCGATAGAAAAGCCAAAGAACCCCACCACTCAAGCTGCCACATGGTCGGAATACAAGCAACGTAACACCGTTAAAGCGCTTGTAGGAATAACACCTGGTGGTGCTCTGTCGTTTGTGTCGCAGCTGTATGGTGGACGGACGTCTGACAAGGAGTTGGTGAGGAGATGCGAACTACTGAAGCTGCTGGACAAAGGCGATGTGATTATGGCCGACAAAGGGTTTGACATTGCATCCGACGCACTTGTGTATGGTGTTGGTGTCAATATCCCACCCTTTCTCCACCATCAACAGTTCTCCGAAGAAGATTTACTTACAACACGACGCATTGCATCACTGAGGATTCATGTGGAGCGAGCCATTCAGCAGATCAAGAATTATTCCATCCTTCGCTTCCTGCCGATCAGTATGGCTGATATTGGAGATGAAATCTTTTCATGCTGTGCCCTTCTCACTCTATTTAATCCACCATTGATGTAAGTTATTCTGCAATGGTCTCTCCCTCCGGGACTGTCGCGCACATAATCGCGTAATTTACATACTTCCGTGTACATACAGCTATTCCACATAACCTTTCCATAACGCGGTTGCTTGCGACCAACTAGTTACTTTCGTGCATCTCAAGTGACAGTCACTATGGTAGTGACAGCTATTGTAGCGTGTGGGACAGAATGGTGCTCAGCAACAGCCTAAGACTCCCCCCCCCCCCTGCTGCCATTGAATTTGTATACTGTCGACATTGCATTACTTGTGATCTGTGCGCCTCCTTATGTAGCCTGTATTGTTGCCTTCAGGACAGCACACCTTACTCCGTTAGGCATCTAATGCAGTACATTGTAGGATATTTTGGTGTTTGTTTGTTACATCGGACTTGGAATGGGCCTTCACTTTTCTGTGACTAAAGATGTTCTGCTCTGGAGCCGTGCTCCCAAGCAGATGTGATGCCGTACACACCCAACAAGTATCCATTCTCATTACGACATTATGAGTGACAGATCATGAAAATTCTCACATAAAATATGCTCTTCATGCCGGTACAACTGCAGCATACATAATGTGGCCAAGCTGATAGCCAGCTGGAGCCACTGGAGGGCCAACCACAGCCTGAGGCCGCCCCCCTGTGGCTGCATTCATGCCATCGTAGAAATAAAACGTGCCATTTTCATGAATATGAGACACAAAATGTTGACCATTTCCATAGGTCACACCCAGCAACCGGTATGCAGTCAGGCGGCCGGAATCAGTGCCTGGCACTTCAACCTGTAAAGGAAAATCTGCAGCAGAATAAATTGTGTGCCGACCAACCATTTCGCGGCAAATGCAGCAAAAGAATGCCACAGAGCACCCCACTCTGGAGCCACGTAGCACCTGCAACCTCCGTCGAGAATACGAGCGCACACCACCACAACGACAAGGCTGACTTCCCGGAAAAAACCAGGCATTCAACATCACCTTTACCTGGTCCGGCCCAGGCAGGTGAGATAGGTCTCCATCTGCAGAGATAAAGATTTCTGGAGTGACGACATCTTTCTTCACATTGCACGTGTCACATTCGTAGGATACTGACGGAAGACAAAACGATTGATTAAACGCTATAACAAACCGATCTGCTTCTGAACCATAGAAATTAATGTTCTGTCCATCACAGGGTACTCGGGGAAGGCCTAGAAGTTCAAGGGCGTGCCACCAGATGTACTTCGCTGCGCCTGGTTCGCCAATGTCAATGAACCCACACATATCCAGCAGGGCATGAGCTGCGCGGTTCCCACTTTTAGCTGCGTCTCTAAATTCATGAATATATATGTCATTGCTGCTGAGGAGAGTAAAACAAAACATCAAGCCATTGTCCAGTGGGCACGTATTGCTAAAATAGAACTGTTTGCCATCTTCTGTCCGGTGAGAGCCACCCCAAGGCAGGGGGTACTCTTGCACTTGTCTGTTGTCACTAGCATTCCCAGTCACATCCATGGGCGACTGCGGATTCACTTCCTCTCGGGTAAGTTGCGTGTCAGGTTCACCACTTGGACTATGTTCACCACTGAGACTAGGTTCACCACTAGGACTAGGTTCACAGGATGCACCCTTAGAAGCCTTATCTGTGCCTTCAGCCCGCAACTCACGACACGCCTGCTGCTGTTCTTTCACCCGTGCAATGCGTTCCACCCTTGCAACCAGCGTTGACTCGGACGGCAGAACGTGGGTGAAAGCCATTGCCACGCCGCGGGTACTAAGTTCGTTTACGTTCTTGGCGAAAGTCAGCAAGGCAGTTGCTGGCAGCCGAGGTGGGGCAAGTGGCTTGTCCAGTTCCTTCCGTGCAGCAGCTACCGGCGTTGCGCTGCTCTTGCTGTACGCAGCCTTTTTAAACACCAGATCCTTTAGCAGGCACACTTCAACCTTCTTGCTCCGTGGCACATTCCATTTGCTGGCCTCTTCCGTGCAAGTCAATGCTGACCGGTGGTACCCCAGCCGCACAAACTCCTCAAGAGCATACGCAAATGCCGCAAGGTGTTTGCAGGAAGCGTGAGGAGGGCGGCCAGCAGGACAGCCACACTCTGCGTACAGGACCTCTGCATGTCTGTCCAGCTTCATGTATAGGGTATAGGTTTTTTTTTGTTTCATTTCTGCCAGCACAATGCAGCGGAGATACATTGTTCCTTGCTCTTCGGGATCCACTGCACCTTTAATGGCCTGCACCAATCCATTGCTGAATAGAAGCAGGGCATGCTCATTTACAGCCTTGAAGTTCATTCGGCTCCCATCAGTGGACTGACCATAAATGAAATAAGCCACCATGTTGGCCATGGTGAACATCGGCAAGGCAGTCCGAATGTCAACCAAGGGCTTCCACAAGTTCGGGTCGACTGGAAGCTTGCTTTTCGTACGGGTCACTTCTATCGACTCTGTGGATAGTGGTATATGCGGTGGTTGTGACTGTGCTGGGGGATTACTGACGTTGCCTTGTACCGGTGGCGATAGAAAGCTACTTTCAGCACGGCCTGAAGTTTTCGCAAATGTCTTTAATCTGCAGTTGACACAGGAACACAAGCCACAGGAAGATTTGGAGTTTTTAGGCTCAGCAAGGAATATTGTCTCGTTTCATGGGTACGGTGTCACAAAACAAAAGTAAAATGACAAGAACATAATACAGGTAAAATGACTATGGATGCTGTTGCACACTGAGTTGAAAGCAGATCCCATTATAGCAACTCTCAGCAGAGTCGCAATGCTGCCATGCACATGGTCATGGCTATGGCTTCGTCCATGCCCACACCAAACGTAGTCCAAGTGTAATCCCCCCTCCAGTCTCTTCGGAGGCGTGGGTTCGAATCCCACCGCTGCCACCATTGTAACTCGTATACTCTCAGCACTCAAAGCACATACTTGTAGTTACGTAAGTAGTTATCATTCGTTCATTGTCTCACAAGGAGAAGAAGAAGACAAGGCCGTGCGAGTGTGCGCAGAGCTATCCAAGCATTCCTACGGTGTACTATTTATGTGTATACAAATAACGTGTTATAAAGTAGCCATGCTACACAAGTCTACTGGTTTTTGAAAAATATTTTTAGTTCAGCTCCATTCTTTGCACGCGGGCCAATAACGAAAAAACAGACGCCTGGGAGAGTTTAGTAATTTTCGGCAACACACTACTGAGTAAGAAGTGAAACGAAGAAAGCTTACCTCCCAATCAGTTCGTCCTTCTTTCCGGAAAGGGGTAAGCCATGTTCACGGAGTAGCCTCTTCAGCTCAGGCACTCTCAAGTCGGCTAAAGACGAAACTTTCTTGGCACTCATAGCTGACGGACCAGTCGGTGATACTCCACGACAGGCACTGCCTGGAACTCGACGTGAGGGCTAACTCTCGAAATACAAACAACCACAACTGTCTGATGTCCAAGACGAAAATTTTGGAAGAAGTGAAGTCTTTCTCACCACGAAATCTCAAGTATACCCCCGGCGCGAGCCGATGACGTAATTGTAAATAAGGACCATTGACCGTAACTTTGGTGTCTCTCAATGGATTTGGGTGAAATTTTCACCACACACTCCTGCCACTATGCTGGCTCTCTGGATATGATTTAAAAGTTCTTGCGCCTCACTGACAGGCTTTCCAGGCCGCAAAAACTCAACATTCCGGCATAGTGCCACGGTGTGCGAGCCACCCAGGAGCCAAACAAATGCATTTACAATTTTTTTCATATTTTCTTGCCCATTCTGTCCGTGCGCAGGATTCAAACCTAACAAAAGTCCAAAACCAGCCATGGGTGGTGAGATAGGGCCCCTCAACGTGGCCCTGGAATCTGTCACAACGGCAGGAGTGGGCGTTCTCTCACAGACTCCCACAGACCGAAGTCATTTTTTGAATATTTTAGGTTTAGCCCGTGCTACGAGGTCGTACCTTTGATACAACATCCAGTGCTGGGACCTCCACAGCAAGCCATTTCCACAGCGCTGCACACCAAATCCAGGATACCCTCAAAAATCGGCAAAGTCTACGACTCACGTTCCACTACTGCCTAGTACTGAATCCTACATGACTTCTTGACACGACTCAAACTTGCCAAAGTCACTAAATCCACGTCAACCACAGTAATTAAGCCACATATCTGCAACGTCACGAGGGTGCTGGCAAAAGTGCAGCCCAATACATGGCTAAAAACGTGATTTTTTGGACTCTCCTTGCAAGGGCACATTTTCGGCCATAAATCTTGAACGGTTGGTCAGATCGAGACACAATTTTCAGATATTTTGGAGCTATTCAAGCCCTTTCAACTGATGTAGCACTCGACATGAATTTACAATTTCGAATTATTGGAGAATTTTTGGGTGATATGCCACGTTAAGGAGAGTGTTCTTTGCATCGGTGTGGATGGTGGCTTTGTTCTATTGAGTATATCACTAACCATCACAATCGGCACCATTATAACCAGGCAGGCATGGGCAGTCGTAAGATCCGTTAAAATTTTGACAATACCTGTTGTCATCATTGGTCTTGTTGTTACAGCTGTGAGTACCGGAATTACACTCATCTATATCGGATTATCAGCGATGTGGACCAGTGATGTGTATGAATAGCAGCGATGTAGATCAGGATGAGCGATTATACAGACAACAGAAACACATTGGCACACACCCGCATACCCAGATAATCATAAATATCAAAAAGAACAAGTAGCTGTTCGCCAATGATGATCGTACAAGTGCGGTCATCAAAACTCTCTGTTATCCGTACCCACCGGTGCTAAATTTCACCAGATTACACTACCTCAACACTTCATTCTTCAATCTCCGGATAGAACTATTTCGGCCTTTGAGCATTAGCGCTGCACAGAGAAAATGAGGCCTAGCTTGAGAACAATACAAAATGAATTTCCGAAACCAGATTTACACCAGGCCCGAACATACCTTGCCAGAGTGCTCAAACTGACAAGTTTGTGAACACTGCGTTACGCAAACAGCAAAGGCATTACCCCACATGAGAGTTCTCATATCTATGATAATATCGACATGTGGTTTCCGGTTTTCTGGCGAGGTAGTTTACATAAAGTATTAAACTTTGATCTTGGACTCTTAGAGGAATAAGTGATAATGCATTATACAAGAATATGGTGTAAGCAAAAGCGTCAATTCCATTGCAATTACACAAGATTTTGCTCTGTTAATCAACTTAGAATCTATGTTGCAGAAAATCAATTGCTGAGCTTGGATTTAAAACGCCAATCAACCTATTCATGTCCAAATATTTCCATGCAAGATAATAATATTCCGTGGGCATGTCTGTTAGAGATCACGTTGTTTACAATTTGCCTTGGTCCACCAAACACTTTTATGCTTTAAAAGGCACGCTCAATATTGCCAATAGCATGCCACTCCGGCCAACTATATTGATCTCAATACAGGTTTACCATTAGGTAAATCCTTTCCCCAGATATTCAACAAGAAGCAATTCATATAAAAATCACATAACTCCTTCCCACACGAAACAGACCTACATTACATAATTATGATCTTTGCAAATTACTTACCTACTTGTAAACATTCAGTACTATTAGGAGTATCTTGGAAGGCGAATCCCTCGACGCAATTACACGAGTAGGACCCCATACTGTTCACGCATCTTCTAGGACCTTTTGCAGAGTACGCAACACAGTGGTGAGGTGTAATAGAGCATTCATCAATATCCAGGCATTGAAGTAAGGTTCCATTGTCGATAATCTCATAGCCTTCTCGACAAACACAGGTATAGCTTCCAGCTGTGTTTACACAGCCTGGCTCATTATCACTGCGAATATATCCATAGCAAGGATTATCAGCTTCTACACATTCATCAATATCGTTGCAAGTATAGATAGTTCCATCTTGAGTGAGTTTATATCCATGTTGACAAGTACACCTGTAAGATCCCCACGTGTTGTGACAATGCGGTCCAGAATTTTGGGTTTCCGTATATCCATAGCAGGGATTGTACGACGCTGAACATTCATCGTGATCTGAAGGGAATATTTGAAGCATGCAGAGCCGTCATAGATTAAATGTTTTAACTTGACACTCGGATGTTGAGCCAATAGTATACCAGTACGTAGAAACGAAAAGGACATAATTATGAACCTGCCAAGAACCTACCGAGTTAGACGGCTGTCGGTTAGCGCTTGGGAGGTGCGTTGGAGCTAGGTATCAGGTGGTCAGTTTTGTGCCTAGTTGTTGCACCGTCTGACTGTATATAGTATATAGTTACAGTGGTGGACAGTTACTCTCAACTTGTATCCATATGTCCCTTTTTTTTCTAAATGGTTTAACAGTTGCTTTTACACGAGGCACGGAGTGATTCCGATCCATAATATTTTAAAAGTTTTAACCGCAGGTTTCATGTATAACGGAAATCATCATGTCAGACAACTGATCTATTTTTCTCACCATAGAATTCGAGCGGGCAGCTGACAACAAAAGCCTGCGGACACGAATCTCCAATTTCTACATGTATGAGATTTAATTCAATGTGCCACAAAAAGAATAGAAGGCAAAGGATGTTAGACAATGCTTCTCCACAGATGTACGTTCCACAAAAAGCATGGAATAGGCTGGTGCTTGGTTGGGACTATCAAGAGCCATTTTTTCAAACTTAACAGCAATACCGCGAGGAGATTGGCTGCTCGCCAATATTGATCGTACTAGAATCAAAACTCTCCGTTATCCGCAACCAATCAGTGCTCAATATCACCAGATTACACTACCTCCACACTTCATAACTCAATCCCCGGATAGAACTGTTTTGGCCTTTGTGCATTAGCGCTGCACAGAAAAATGAGGCCTAGCTTGAAGCAATACAAAACGAATTTCCGAAACCAGATTTAAACCAGGCCCGTACCAGGGAGTAGTACAATACCGGTATTTTACTACTCCCTGGTTGTAATATCTATAGCAGAGATTCTAGGATGCTGAACATTCATCGTGATCTGAAGGGAATACTGAAAATGCTGGGCAGTCATTGATTAAAATGGGCAAAATAGTTGATCATGCACGAGACATGGAACGCAACGCTTCCGATTCATTTTAAGTTACATGTACTTCGAATACTCAATCTGCGGACAGCATGCTATTTCGTTCTTTGTGAACTCATCAGCGCAGCACAGAGGAAATGAGGCCGAACCTGATAGCAATGGAAATAAATATTTCCAATCAAGCCCGAATGTAGCTTGCCAGAGTGCTCAAACTGACAAGTCAGTGAGCTCTGCGTAATGCAAACTGCAAAGGCACTACCCCACAGGAGAGTGCTCAACTACTACAAGAGCAGGAGCGAAAATACTCAATCTGCGGACAGCATGCTGTTTCGTTCTTTGTGAACTCATCAGCGCAGCACAGAGGAAATGAGGCCGAACCTTCAAGTATATGTATAATCACTGGTTTCAGGAACACAGGTGATTATCATACAGCTGATTGCATTGGTATTATCTTATTGTGCGAGTGGATATCTAGCTAACATCTACAATTCCGGTATACGAATCTATGAGAATGAACTCGTATGGAGAGCCAAGGAAATATTTATTGAAAACATGGAAAACATCAGCCCGCAAGTTATGCATAAGAGTCCACCGACTACATCAGATATTGAACTGTTATGCGTAGACAATCTAGCAACAAACCGACATGGAGTATTAAGACATTCCACGCTGGGCAACATCTGCTATAGGTGGTTGACTGTAAGGCACAACTTGTGCACCACTGTTTTCTACGAGAGTGAGACTATAATTATATTATGCGAAACCCCAAGCAAGGAAATCAAAGGATTCCGAGCGGGACATTTCTACACAACTTCTATCTGCAATGTGACATACGAATCTATGAGAATGAGACTGCATTTGATACGAAACTCCAAGAATGGAATGGAAAGGATTCCGAGCAACGCTACTCCACAGATAAGCGTTTTGAAAAACCAGAAATGACTGGTGCTTGGATAGGACCACCAAGAGCAAAATTTTCAAAGTTACTAGCAGTATTCTAGAGGCCGTTTTAGAAATAAAGGTTTCCAAGTATATCTCAATGATGAGTAAATTATTTTCTCTATTTTTCGCTTTCGGATATTCAAGTACAGTAAAGCCTGTAACTAAAGACCACCGGGACTAGCGACCAGCCTGGTACTACAGACGACTTTGCCAGGCACGGACTGTCGCACATTAGTACATGGTTGTGCGGTGCAAACCTCTAACTAAGGACCACCTGCCACTAAAGACCGCTTTCTCTGGCCCCAAGGGGTGGTCGTTAGTCACAGGTTTTACTGTAGTTGGAAACGACCGTCCTACTTCATGCAAATGATACAGAGGACACTCATCGAAGTAAATGTAGCTGCAGGAATATACAGTCATGACTGTGCATCTACATGTCATGTACCATAGTGACTCAATGAAATTGCTGTACAATGTACTGAACATCTTTCCAGGTGTTCAGTAAAACACATTCCAGAAAAGCAACGACTAACTGTGGTCTACTGCGCCTGCCTAAATGAGGAGATTTCCTACCTAACGAAGGAGTTAAAATAACATACCTTCGTGGACGTGCAAGGCGATGAACGGTTCACGTGCTTTATTGAGTTGAATCGCACACTGGCTGAGAGGAGGTGATGGCGCACTCTGGACTGTGAATTTGATTTGCATCCCATGTGATGATTGCACGGAGAAATTGAGATTGTGACTGGATCCATATTTACTACTATCGCTGAACCTAACTGACCTTGCATTTGACCAACCACCGTGGTCAAATGACTTAGACCTAACATAGAAGTGACAATTTCCGGCTGCCGTGAATGAAATGCCTATTGCTGCAATAGTGCAGCTCCCTTGAAACTCGAAGTTTATGCTATAAATAGGATTGTAGCCGAGGACGCGATACGATAGTGTACCAGGTGAATGCGATGTGTACCACTTGAATGTTTGAAGTCCACCGTTCAAGCCTTCGTAACTATTTTGACGATGAGCGACTGGACGGCAACTTGGGGTCAAACACCATACCTCAGTTGTGATAACAACCAGTGTCGTCACTAGAACAATCCAACTGTATTCGGTCTGGAAATAGACTGTAATGCAGAAGAGGGCAATGACGACACGAAGTAAAGTATTAATCCACCAGTAGCTACATTTTGCACATCGTTAGCTGTATAACGTATCCGATGAAGCAGTGGTGCTCGTGAATTATACCGAGGCAGAGCCACAACGATAGGAATACATGATTATTGCGTGAATACTGGGTAAATTACTGCCCACAGGACTATTGTAAGATAGGGAGATGCCTAGGGGAGTCCAGTATAACAATAGTGGACTGAAGATATTGACCGTTCGAAAATGAATTTGTTTGTGGCAGATACATTCGCTGTCAATGTAGCAGTGACAATAACTACCATATTTACCTGAAATGGACACCATTATTACACGATGGTGTGAATATCAGAACGGCGAAGAAGTTCCAATCCAGGTCAAGCCAACAAGGGGCAGGATTGGCTATGAGGTAACGAGGCAATCCTTTCTCGATGTGGTCAAAATTCAAAATGTTCGATCGCTCGCTGCTCACTCAAACTTCATCGGAGAGACTTCAAACCTGTTCGAGGCGATAGATGATACCTTACTGCAGATCCAGTGTGCAACGCTAGCACTGATATGCAAGTAGCGATAAGGTACAATAGTTCTTCACACGACGGCTGTGGCGTCATGGCTATATCTCATAGGGGAAATGAGATGGATATGTTCGACGTGTCGTTGGAAGCCGCTATCAATGACAACCTCGGCTAATGTGCCCTCTGGTTTCCCAAAGAGTTGCACTACACATCTGTCTAATTGTTTGGCACAAAAGCGAGCCATTGTGTCTAATGAATGGTCGGAAACAGACGGCAATATGTTGAAGTCACGCAGGGGATTGGGCATGTTCGTGTGATTGACATGAATAGACTGTTCAGGGTGATTAGTGGTACGTAGTATGGCGTATAAAGAATGGCAGTGCATGGGAAGTCCCAGTCACTGCTAGACGTTTAAGTAGGACCAATCTATAAACAAGCCTGATACCTAGCCCAAAAAACTGTTAGCGTGTGAGAGAGTGAACTTATGCACTGATGGTTGTGTGTCCACGTTTTGCGTGCATAAGTTACGTTGGCATGTTACGAACTTCGTTAAAAAAAAGTGACAGTGCATTCAGTGGAGATTTTGCAAATGACGTTCTCATGTACGGAAAGGATTGAGCTAAGCAAAGCAAGCGTTTTGAAGAATGAGAATGGTACAGATCCTAAACAAGTCAAGGCTGATAGCTAGTGTCCGTCAGTTCACCTATATTGGTTACAAATATTACCAGAGTTGATTGCTCTCGGATTGTTGCTAAACAGCTCATTGACGGTGGATTTGACATGTTTTCTCACTAGATTAATGGCTGTGTGTTGCCGTATGTACAAATAAACCAGCATGTACGATTGCTGTCTAAATAGTTACTGATGGCTGTACAGTTCCTTCGGCGTCACTGAAACTGCATCCGCTTGGCCTTGATCGGAATCGTGTGGTTTACCATCTGCGCACAATACAATGTAAAGGTACTCGGTTAGCTTCTCTAACACTGTCGTGGAGCTCCCTTAGTACGTACACCACTATGGTCGATTCTTGCTTAGAACGGATATTGTCCGCTGCACTGGGGTCATGATCCAAACAGAATCATTTTGGGATAGATAGTATCTCAAATACTAGGTACACTTTCCTGCTACCCGTGTGCGTTATTTCAGTTTTGGTGATACAGCTATGCTTAGATTACCATAACACGAGGCAAGGATTCCACTAGAGGATTAGAAGCTGACTTGGCCACGTTTTCAAACACGTTTCAGCAAGTTGAATATCTAATCCTGTCTTCTTTATTCACATCTATCAACCATTGCGCTGCAGCTCTAATGCTCTACCATAGCTCTTTGAGGCCTTACATGCATATCCTAAATGAAGTCAGAGGTTGATGATGCGAATTAAAGCGAAATCAGAATGGCGTGAATTGTGATTCTCAGCATTTACAAACGTACTTTATACAAATCTAACACTTGAATGGTGACATGCATGTATAACGCTCAGTTCTAGCGGGTTGTATGCAGTAGCTGAGATCAAAGATACAGACAAGAAATCAGATGGAAAATATGAAGTCTTCAAAGTCTTGGAAAGCACTACTTGGTAGTTTTAAGTGTCTGGAAGGGTCAAAATGCACTGTACGTCTTACCGACCTGCACAGGAAAAATGCTATCCGTTCATAGAGCTATGCATGATATTATTAACTGTGAAGTGATGGAGCAGTTGTAGCAACAGTGCTCATGGCTCTTGGCATGGATCTAGGCACACAGCTCTCTCACACATACTGGTACACACATACATGAACGCATGCACGCTCATGAATCATGTTCGTTCCTGCTTCGGTTGTTGCCTTGTGTGTTTCCTGTAATGCGAGTTTGGTGGCTGAGTACTAAGTTAAAGTATTATAGTACTGAAAGAAAAGTAATTGGTCGCGAGAAAATAGTATTGAAAGGCTGGAAGATGTGCTAAACGTTGGTTATAATGTGAAAAAGAGGTTGGTGCGACTTCGGCGATAGTTGGGGAAGAGTGTGTTGCTCCCTACAGGGGAGCTCGCAGTTTTCCTGCCAACTTGAATTCTCGCTTGGTTATACTTCGTTGAATAGCTAGGGTTCCAGACAGTCGGAGGGAGAAAGATAGTCTGATGGAGTCCCTGGTACCTTTTTTCTCGCCTGAGAAAACCTGCTGCTGCTCTGCTTCGAACCTGTCTCGCGATAGGACTCGTCAGGCAGTGGAGATGGTACGCCAAGGAGAGCATTACTGACCGGAGGTCTATCCGCTCCAGGCCAGTAGTTAGGTTTGGAATCTTTTCTAGTCACTATTGGTCTTCGATCTGTCGCGGAGGTGTTAGCCACTTGCGTCTGATCAGACATGGATCCCGAGCTGCATGGTGTGGTCCTGCTCTTGTGCATGGAAGTGGGAGCCGTGGCTAAAGCGTAGCCATAACCATCTGTTCTCTCTACTATTCCGATTGATACAGCGCCTGCACATCTGCCCGTGTGATCGTCACATTTCCTGGCTGGAGCAGTGGCAATGGCATAGGCATACTCCACATTCTGCTCCATTTGGTCAGGAACACTAGCGTATTCGTTTGGCAATCCTTCGAGTATGTAGTCATTTTCAATTCGATTCGGGGCCTGTGAGGGCATCTCTGTAGTGGGAACAGATCCAGTGCTTGAGCCCATGGCAAGGTGATACTCATGGTAATCACTTCGGTCAATCTCAATGGCAGCCCTAGCTTGTTGGTCTCCTTCACCTGTGGATGTGCGGTGCGTATGATTGCGCTGCGGGGACGGCATCTCCACCTCTGCACGGTCTGCCTGAAACGTATCAACAGGTCCATCCCCAGCTGTCGTGGCCCGTCGAGCGGTTGAGCTGCGTCTAAGTAGTTTCAATATTTTCTCTCTCTTCCGGAGGAGCAGCGCCACCAACAAACCTATCAGGGTTACACTAATTGTTGACAGAGCCACCAGAACCGTCTTGCCGTTCTGCACTTTTCCTGATGCCGAACTCGTCATTTGCGTCGTTACGTGAGATATTGCAGATGTTGCTGTGGCTATGGTGGTGTTCAACGGATATTTGGTTATCAATTGGATTGGAAGTTGTGACGCCGCTGGAAAACATGCAGAAAATCAGATACCAAAGTAGTGATGAACGCGAGGTGCACGTAAATCATAGCTCTTCGCATACTGAGATTGTCATTCAGATTTTCGGCTCCCAAAACATATCGTCCAACTGGCGACGCTCAAAGCTAGCAAAGAGTATTTGAGGGGTACAGCTCTCGTTAGGAGCTGCATCTCCCGCTAGGGTATACCAGGTGTTAGCGTCCGTCGTGGGTCCCTTCGGGAACGGACACGATAAATTACTTATTTACTTTGCAGCTCCCTAAAGGCAAATTTAACACCAAAACAAAAGGACAACTCCGTCGAGGTCAAATTGTCAGACGCCTCACACAGCTAGTTCATTCCAACAAACCTCATTATAGTGTCTCTCCCTCTCATCAGCGGAGCTCAGAGTTACGGACCGAAAGGATCCGCTTTGCGAACAACAAGGGTAAATCGAAATCGGACAATAGTATCAATTTCAGAGGTTCCTAACGGCGAGGAAAACTGAGAGCTATTCACGAATGATGTTATGAAGGGAACACCAACCTGGCTTAACTAGAAAATTGATACTTAGAAGTGTGGAATGCCCTAGAAAATGGAGACCTGACTATACCAAGTCTCAAATCTCTCAATGGAGTATACCCGCAGTCCCTGGCTATGTCGTTTAGAAAATATTATCAATTCATTTTCCAGCCTAAGTGCAGTTGGCTTTTAAAGTAGTGAAAATGGTAAGACATTGGTATACTTTCCTTTCAGAGGACAATGGCGGAATGTTGGTATGGAACCACGGACACGTATAGTCACATGTTATGTTCATGATCTATAGCAAAGGGAGGATATGGAACCTAAAGAAAAGGATTCTCTTCCCCCAACTATAGGTACGTACATGTAGATAAAATCTCGTGATACGCTGTCAAGATGAAGAAAATAACGCGTTCAGAAAAATCCTCGGAGACCTGGTAACTGAATGCTCAACTTTGGCCATCAGTTACCTTTCTACCTTGGGTGAATTTCTGGAGAATACGATAGGGAGGAGACATGCAACTAAACGGCAGACATTTACCAGATCATCAGGTAACCACATTGATGATCGCTTTTGGTGGAGATTCAACTCGGAGTACCTGAAAATTTTCTCTGTCCCTTTTGTATCAGCACCTACACCTAGAGTGCTTAACACTCATCGTTCTGTGGACTACTTCGCTTGTGTTTTTCTTACCTCTGCATATCGTGCCATTTTGCGCGGGAGTAGCCGAAAATCCACTGGAGCAGTTACAATAGTAGGACCCAGGAGTATTCACACATTTTCCAGATCCTTGATGCTGACTACAAAGATGAGGTACTAGGATACATTCGTCGTTATCAATGCATCCAAAATTATTCCTCTCATGTACGCGTACTTCAAGTGCATACATGAATCCATTTTGACAAACGCATTGATAAGATCCCAAGGTGTTTTCGCACTCCGCTACGTATTTACGGTCATCGTTCCAATGCCAATGGCAGGGATTACTAGAAGTTAATTCACACTCATTGATATCGTTGCATATAAAGTCATGTTCATGTCCTACAGCCAGTACAGGTTCATATCCTTCTTCACAGTCACATTTGTATGACCCCCACGTGTTGATGCAGGTGGGTTTATCGCCGTGTTTCGAATGGTCGGAGCAAGGATTTATATGTGTGTGGAGACATTCATTGATATCATCTAACACAGTACAAGGCAAGAAACATACATGTACATGCATTATCACATCTTCCATACATGATTTGAATTTTTGTGTGTTGTTGCACGAGCCAATCTGATTCTCTTCACATCGTACACTTCACACTTGAAAACCCCGTGTCAGGTAAAGACCTTACCTTCTTGAAAGAATAATCCAAGGTACGGTTCCGTCTCTTCAGTCAAAGGGGTACTACATGGTGAAGACATTCCAGTTACATCATGGACGTTGATTTTGATGCGAAGCTTAGTGGATGATGCCAATGCTAGCTGTATATAGCCAGGTGCATGGTAGCCTACTGAATTGAGTTTA